GAGAAATACATGTAGAAATTGAGATTTTATTGTAATAATATTATCAAGTGAATTCAACGATTCCCAACTCTTTTAAATTATAAATCTTTCAGAAATTGTTTGCTTTACTTTAATTAATTAACAAGTTTTAAAACTCACCTTTAATCAATTTGGTTCTCTCAAATAGTAGTAAAAATATTAAAAGTCTGTAGCCTAGATTAACCAATCTTTGTGGGACGATATCATAAACTATACTAGAATTTGACTGAGTACGAGCAGAAAAATCCTATGCACATTGATCTCGTCAAATTTTTTACATCATTGTCGGGGATTGGCACACGTCTACTTCAGACTAAATATTTTATTACTAATTTGGGAACTTACTATTAATATTATTATCTTTGTTATCAGTATCTACTAAATATTACTACTATTACTTTTACTATTACAAGTACTAACATCTTATAGAAGTGTTATTATCATTCGTCCTTCTTACCATCATTATAGCATAGCAGTCACTATTATTAATAGTAGTACTACTTATAACTATATTCTATATTAGTATTATATTATTATTTTCCATTGTTAGTTACTATTACTACTTACTGATTTCGTTTACTATTTTTTTTCATAACATCTATTGCTAATTAGTACTTATATAATTACTATTATCATATACTACTACTACAACTACTACTACTACAACTACTACTTTAGGAGTTAAGTTCAGATTATTTTTTTTAGAATCTTGAGTAGTTTATGACCCGCTCTTCTATAAAAGAGTTGGTCAATTACGATCCTGAAATTGAAAAATCTCTTCGATTGTGCAGGAAAGGAAAAGCATTATCTTCCCAAAGCATAGCTTGTGAAGGTATGGAGAATCAAGAAGTAGAAGACATTCAACTACCAGTCCATGTGGAGGATCACTTTGATGAAGTAGCACAAGGCGAGCAAACAGAATCTTAAGGGATTATGCTAGACCTGACCGCTTTAACTGTGAATCTAGTGTCAGAAAACCTCCAGTGGCAGCCAACAACTTTGAAATCAGGACTGGCCTGATTCAAATGATTCAACAGTCTTGCATCTTCAATGGAGACGCAAGTGAAAATCCACACAGTCATTTGATTGACTTTTTGGAACTTGTTGAAACAGCTAAATATAATGGAGTACCTCCTGAACCTATCAAGTTAAGGCTATTTCCTTTCTCTTTAAAAGGAGATGCCAAAACTTGGTTGCGAAGTTTGCCACAAGGTTCCATCACCACATGGGATCATATGATTCAGAAATTTTTAAACAAATATTTTTCCTCTGCTAAAACCACAAAGTTAAGACAAGACATCTCTAATTTCTTGCAGACTGACACTAAGTCAGTTTATCAAGCTTGGGAAAAATTAAAAGCAATGTTAAGAAAATGCCCACACCATGACATTCCTGAACATATGCAGTTGTATATTTTTTATCACGGGTTAAAACCCTCTTCTAGAAATGTGATTGATGTAGCTGCGGGAGGTTCTGTAATGGGAAAAACCACGGAGGAAGCATTGCAATTGTTGAACGAGATTTCTGAGAATGCCATCCAATGGCCATCTGAGAGTGTAATCATCAAGAAGGCTGCTACGGTAAATTAGGTTGATGTTTTAAATACACAAATGCAGCAAATTGTTTCTTTGGTACAAAAGTTTGAAACTTTTCAGGTGAATACACAACAACCAAGCCAATCTGAGGTTTGTTACATGTGTGGAGGAAATCATTAGAACCATGAATGTCAAGCAACCAATCACAATGATGAACATGTCAATGTCATCGGTTACAAGCAATATCCTTTTGGAAGTCCAATGCAACAGAAACATCCAGGTTTTCAATGAAGCAATCCAAATGGTGCTAAGAACTCTCAAAGCTTCCAGAAGAAACAAATACAGGGTCCACCCGGATACCAGAATCCAAACCATGGTCAATCAAACTTTAGACCTTATCAGCAAGCAACTCCATATCAGCAAAGGCCTCAACAAGCTCATGTAAGTCTTGATGATCTTTTGTATAAGTATATTACGGTCACTGATGAAAAGATGGAGAGTCAAAATTTATTCCTCAAAAATCTATAAATACAGTTGAGCCAATTGGCAGCTCTTATTACAGAAAAGATTCAGGGTCGTTTACCAAGCAATACAGAGAAAAATTCAAAAGAACACCTTAAGGCCATCACCTTATGGTCAGGTAAGAAGCTTAATGAACCCTATACAGACCAATCAGAACAACAGGTAAACAATGGTAAGAATGTTGAAATACCCATTGAACCATATGAAAAGAAAGAAGTCAAGAAAAAAATATTGAATCCTCTCCCTGTGACAATTTCTTTTCCACAAAAAATGAAAAGAAAAACTCTTGATAGTCAATTTGCCAAATTTTTGAAGATTTTAAAACAGATTAACATCAATGTTCCGTTCACTGATGCTTTATTGCAAATGCCTTCATATGCCAAATTTTTAAAAGAAATTTTGTCAAGCAAAAGAAAATTGGAAGAAGTTTCTGTGGTAATGCTTACTGAAAAATGCAGTGCTATACTTCAAAATAAGCTACCACAAAAACTTGGTGACCCATGTAGTTTTACAATTCCATGCACTTTGGGAGGAGTATATTTTGAAAAAGCACTCTGTGATTCTGGAGCTTCAATAAATTTGATGCAATTTTCTATCTTTAGAAAATTGAATCTTGGTGAAATGAAAGACATATGTGTTTCTCTTCAGTTTGCAGATCAAAGTACTAAGAAACCTAAGGGAATAATTGAAAATGTGTTCGTAAGAGTATATAAGTTTGTTTTCCCTGTAGATTTTATAGTACTTGAAATGAAGGAATGTCCTAATGAACCAATCATTTTGGGTAGACCATTGCTTGCCACAGGTAGAGCAATCATAGATGCCCATCAAGGACAACTAATTTTGAGAGTTGATGAAGAAAGAGTCATTTTTGATATGCAAAAGATATTAAGATTTTCAGGAGATGAGACGTCATCGTCGTGTTTTTCGATTTACATGCTTAATTATCTTACAGATGAATTCAAAGATGATCAATTAATTCCAGACTCAATGGAAAGATGTTTGGCCAAATCTGGCACAAAACAAGATAATGATCTTATCATCAGAAGAGAAGCCGAAATACTAGAAAAAGATTCTGAAGATGAGGAGATCCAACCAGAACAAGTTCAACCAAAAATTGAACTCAAAGTTCTTCCATCTCATTTAAAATATGTTTACCTTGAGAAAGAATTATTTCCAGTAATTATTTCATCTTCTCTTACTGCAGGATAAGAAGAAAAACTGATTGAAGTGTTGAAAGCACACAAGGGAGCCTTGGGATGGACTATAGAAGATATCAAAGGGCTTAATGCAACTGTTTGTACGCACATAATCTTTATAGAGGATAGCTATAGGCCAATAGTCCAGCCCCAAAGGAGATTGAATCCAGCAATGCAGGAAGTAGTAAAAAAGGAGATCGTAAAGCTTTTGGCGGCAGGTATTATCTATCCCATTTCAGACAGCCCTTGAGTAAGCCCAGTTCAGGTAGTACCAAAGAAAGGAGGTATGAATGTTATAAAAATGAAAGTAATGAACTCATACCTACCAGAACCGTCACAGGATGGAGAGTCTGTATTGATTACAGACGTCTCAATGATGCTACTCGAAAAAATCATTTTCCTTTACCATTTATTGATCAAATGTTAGAAAGAATTGCAGGATATAGTTTTTACTGCTTTCTTGATGGCTATTCAGGGTATAACCAAATACCAATTGCACCTGAAGATCAGGACAAAATAACTTTCACATGTCCTCATGGAACATATGCCTATAGGAGAATGTCATTTCGTCTATGCAATACCCCTGCTACTTTTCAGCGTTGCATGTCAGCAATTTTTTCTGACATGACTGAAAAATTTCTTGAAATTTGTATGGATGATTTTACACTCTTTGGCAAACACATTTGAGGATTGTCTTCACCACTTGACCTTAGTTTTTAAGAGATGTGAAGAGACAAACTTGATTCTTAATTGGGAAAAATGTCATTTTATGGTTGCTGAGGGAATTGTTTTAGGACATAAAATCACCGATAAAGGGATAAACTTTGATAAGGCTAAATTGATCTTATAGCAGGACTACCCCCTCTCACAACTGTTAGAGGCATCAGAAGCTTTCTAGGTCATACAGGTTTTTACAGACGGTGTATAAAAGACTTTTCAAAGATTTCAAAGTCGTTGACTAATCTTTTGATGAAAGATATTAAGTTTGATTTTTCAGGTGATTGTTTGAAAGCATTTGAGACCCTTAAGGAAAAGTTATCAACCGCCCGTGTAGTTGTGTCCCCAGACTGGAATCAACCTTTTGAGGTCATGTGTGATGCTAGTGATATAGCAATTGGAGCTGTTTTTGGTCAGAGAAAGGATAAGATCTTTCGTCTCATTTACTATGTTAGTAGAACAATGAATGAGGCTCAACTAAATTATGCCACAACAGAAAAAGAGTTACTAGCAGTAGTATTTGCTTTTGATAAGTTTCGATCTTATTTGATAGGAACCAAAGTCACTATTTTTACTGATCATGCAGCTTTAAAATACCTCTTAGCAAAGAAAGATGATCGACCTAGATTGTTAAGATGGATTTTACTTCTACAAGAATATGACCTTGAGATAAAAGACAAAAAAGGAACAGAAAATCAAGTAGCTAACCATTTGTCTAGATTAGAAAATCCCCTCCTTGAGTTTAGCGAAATAAAGGAAGAATTTCCTGATGAACACATTTTCTCAGTTAACTCAATTGTGACTCAACCACCCTGGTTTGCAGATATTGCAAACTACTTGGTTGGAAAATGGACACCCCAAGATCTCTCTTACCAGTAAAGAAAAAAGCTTATATCTAACGCAAAGTATTATTTATGGAATGAACCTTACTTGTTTAAAAATTGCGTAGATAATATCATTAGAAGATGTGTGCCTGAAGATGAGATGAGCAAAATTTTATATCATTGTCATGATGGAGCAATTGGAGGTCATTATGCGGCAAATCGAACAGCCTTTAAAGTTTTGGAAGCCGGATTTTTCTGGCCAACTCTCTTTAAAGATGCTCGAGCATATGTTGCACAATGTGACAGGTGTCAGAGAACAGGTAACATCACTAATAGAGATGAGATACAATTACAATCAATACAAGTATGTGAAATATTTGATGTTTGGGGAATAGATTTCATGGGTCCTTTCCTTCTTCTCATTCTTTTGAATATATCCTTGTGGTCATGGATTATGTGTCAAGATGGGTTGAAGCCATCCCCACAAGGAAAAATGATGCTCGAACTGTGTGCAATTTTCTCAAGAAAAATATTTTACTAGATTTGTCACACCATGAGTCATCATTAATGACCAAGGGACTCATTTTATGAATAAACAATTTTCTGCTTTGCTGACAAAATATGGTGTGACTCATAAAACATGAACACCATATCATGCTCAAACTCAAGGGCAAGTTGAAGTTTCCAACCGTGAGTTAAAAAGAATTCTTGAAAAAATGGTTGGAATCTCAAGAAAAGACTGGGCTTTAAAATTAGATGATGCATTATGGGCGTACCGAACGACGTTTAAAATGCCAATTGGAACATCCCCATATAGATTAGTCTTTGGGAAAGCTTGTCATTTGCTAGTTGAATTAGAACACAAAGCTTTTTGGGCACTAAAAGCACTAAACTTTGAATTATTCTCTGCTGGTAAAAATAGATTTTTTCAGGTTAATAAGTTGGAAGAACTGAGATTAGTAGCTTATGAAAATGCAAGAATTTTCAAAGAAAAAACAAAAATCTGGCATGACAATTTGATCCGACAGAAAAGTTTTCAAGTGGGAGATCAGGTACTTCTTTACAATAGTCGACTCAGGCTATTCCCAGGAAAGTTGAAATCCAGGTGGACAGATCCTTGTAATGTTACAGATGTAACTCCATATGGTACAATTGAAATTCAACAAAATAATGGCGGAGACAAGTTTAAGGTAAATGGACACAGGCTAAAAATGTACTTTGGAGGACATTTTGAGCAAAATCCATCGGTCACTTTGATAGATTGATGAATTTCAAAATTAATAAGTCGAGCTGACGACGTTAAACTCAGATCTATGATACCCTACACGTAGCCATTGAGGGTGAAGCAATGGAGCCTCATAAGTCCGATACAGATTTGGGTAATTAAATGCTTAACCAATTAATCTGGTCAATATCCAGGTTATTGTACAACCGGAACATCTCATGAAGGTCTCTACAAAAATAGTGTCACCTATACAAGAGTAATTCCATGGTGATCGGTATGACTAAGTAACTGGTTGGTTAGCCATTTAATAATTCAATTCGAATGTTGGCACAGCTAAATTTTTCTGGTTTATATTCATGACCAACACGTTATTGTCACACCTCCTTTTTACCTACATTTCGGGAAGGGTATAAGGGAGTTTTTCCAATTAAAGAACAATCGAAACGGGATTTATTATTAAGAATTCAAAGTCGCCACTTGGGAGATTTATGGTGTCCCAAGTCACCGATTGAATCCCGGATCGAGTAAAATATGACTCTGTAATACGGTCCGCAAACCAAAAATCTGAGTAAGGAATTCTATTAACTCGGGAGAAGGTGTTAGGCATTCCCCAGTTCCGTGGTTCTAGCGCGGTCGTTTAACTTTTATATTCGACTTAATTATCTGATTTTTAATACATGTTCAAATCTATGTGCACTTTAATACTTTAACGGCTTTGTTTATTTTAGGAATATTGCAACACTGTTAAAACATATCTCGAACCACGTCGCATAAATGCACCCGGGTCTTTCGACATATTTTAACATTGTTGAGATTTGGATTTGGGTCACATAAATGCACACCCGAGTCTAGGAAAATAATATTATTAACTAACGCGCCTAAAAGCTTTTCGCATTTGCAGCTTTGCGAGGGCCATGGAATTTAACTAAACGTCACGCCTCGAATTCTAAGGATCAATACAGGATTAACTAAAATGAGGCCAACACAACTAAATGGATTCATGTCTACATAATCAATCCAATATCCCTTTTAATGTGATCCAACACTCACATTTCATGAATAATCCTAGCGCGAGTTAAATTGCCAGCAGTTGGTACGACCTTCACTTCTCTTTAACTTTCCAATTCATTGAGTTATAAAAAAAAACTAACAAAAATGAAAATATCTTGCTATCTTCGAGCTTGGGCCCAGAATGAGCCCACTTCTTTTAGAAGCTGAAATCAGCAGGTGCAGGACTCAAGATCGAGTCCCCACGGCACACAAGCAACAACTGAAAATTCCAGGGGGTATCTGCGTGAACCCAGCTGATTGCCAATGATGGCATTACGCAACAAATCTTAAATAAGCCATTAAACATTCAATGGACAATCACAGGAGATTGTAGTGACGACAAAAATCCAGTTTCTTGGAAATTATACAATATGTGATTCTAATTGGTAAGTGAAACCTAACTAACCTAAACAATAACATGAAGGCCTGAGCCTTAACTAAAGCTCATATTAGCAAGACATGGGGGTCGACATTAAGCAGCAATGACTTTAAAGCATCAAGTTTGATACCATATCATGCAAACGCCAACAAACAATTCAACACAGGCCAACAGGATACTATAGAACATAACCAAGCATTTCTCTAACCTACAACCATTCTCAAACTAATCTGATAACTAAGCAGAAGAATCAGGTCACTTAAAGCTTTAGTCTTATATCATAATACCCCATTCATGACAAATATACTAATCAAATGCCTCTGTAGCTAAATATTACATCCATAGATGGGATTGAAAGGAGAATAAATGAAATTCAGTAACGATAACATCAGTTTATCATATTTCCAAATTCAAACTCCATATTACACTTTAGGTGATGTCCATAGTGCCAAGGAAACCTGGAAATGGAAAGATACAAACTATGGAGAATCAGCAGTAGCAGTAGCAGATATCAACAACAATAACAGCAACAAACACAGCCCAGACTTGGTAAATGAACCCAAGAGATTAACCCCAAAAGACCAATGGATCAGTAGTTTCAACAGTTTTATCAGAAATTAACCAAAAGATTTCGATGGAACAGTACTTTTCTTATGGTAAATGAACCCAAGAGATTAACTCCAAAAGACCAATGGATCAGTAGTTTCAACAGTTTTATCAGAAATTAACCAAAAGATTTCGATGNTTATACAATATGTGATTCTAATTGGTAAGTGAAACCTAACTAACCTAAACAATAACATGAAGGCCTGAGCCTTAACTAAAGCTCATATTAGCAAGACATGGGGGTCGACATTAAGCAGCAATGACTTTAAAGCATCAAGTTTGATACCATATCATGCAAACGCCAACAAACAATTCAACACAGGCCAACAGGATACTATAGAACATAACCAAGCATTTCTCTAACCTACAACCATTCTCAAACTAATCTGATAACTAAGCAGAAGAATCAGGTCACTTAAAGCTTTAGTCTTATATCATAATACCCCATTCATGACAAATATACTAATCAAATGCCTCTGTAGCTAAATATTACATCCATAGATGGGATTGAAAGGAGAATAAATGAAATTCAGTAACGATAACATCAGTTTATCATATTTCCAAATTCAAACTCCATATTACACTTTAGGTGATGTCCATAGTGCCAAGGAAACCTGGAAATGGAAAGATACAAACTATGGAGAATCAGCAGTAGCAGTAGCAGATATCAACAACAATAACAGCAACAAACACAGCCCAGACTTGGTAAATGAACCCAAGAGATTAACCCCAAAAGACCAATGGATCAGTAGTTTCAACAGTTTTATCAGAAATTAACCAAAAGATTTCGATGGAACAGTACTTTTCTTATTGATCCTTTGGGCAGTTTAGATCTCAGAAGGTCTAAACTCTCACTCTCACAAAAAATGTCTATATCTCAGTCTTCCTTCCCCTCTCTAGGTCTATCTGTGTGTATCTCAATGCCCATCTCTCTGTCTATATGTGTCTATTTTTAAGACTAGAGCCAACTCCCTTTTTTATTCAAATCTTTTCCCTTTCCGGCTTGTTTTATTCTCTTACCATATGTATCCCTTAGCCTTTTAATCACACCCCCATGTTCTTCTGATTTCCAGCTCTTAAAAGGTCCTTAAACAAGTGTAGCTTCCACTTATCAATACCCTTTTCTATTTTTAAATTCATTCCACTAACTTAATGTTTTTTCTTTAATTCAGTAGTGCACTTCCTAGACCCTACCACTATTGAGGAACCTCCTAATTAATTATTGGCAGGTTTTTCTGCCTAAATTACCCTCAAGGCTTCTATTATTCATACCCCTAAGTTCCGAAGTACCACAATTATAGTAAACAAAAGACTAAAACCTTTAACTAGATTGAAAAATCAAAATCGCTATTAAATTACTTAACGACATACATGAATATCCATCAAAGGCAATTGAATGGATAATTCACAATTTTAAACCTAATTCAAACCTAAGAAGAGAAGAAGACGGGGCAGAAGTGCAATAATAACAAGAAAAGAAAAGAAGTAGTGTTGGATACTCACCAACTAAACTCGAAGTTAGAATCTTATAACTTGATTCATACAAAATTGATACCAATCGCTTTTTTCTGTCGAGAAGGAGCGAATGCCATCAATTTTGTAACGAATCAGCCTTCCCGAGTCGATGCATGCCACCAGTTTTGACATTATCGAGTTGTGAGTTTTTAGAGCTTAAATTTGGATCTAATATTCGAGGAGTTCTAGAAAGATTCGAAGGAAACCATTCTGGGATTTGTAAAGAGGGGGTCAAGGTGGTCATATGGTATTAGTTTGGTTTGGGGATTTGAGATGATGGGGTGAAGGAGAATCAATGGTGTTAATTTGGGGTTGTTTGGGCCACCGGAACCGCCGTGAGGCGATTTCCGGTGGTTCCGGTGGGCAGAGGGAGGTGGTGTGAGGCGGTGAGAGACTTGGGTGTCTCTGAAGAGACGAAGGAGCCTGGGTAGGGGCTTTAGGGAAGGCGAGATATGTTACACATATATATACAGGTTGTGGAATTGAATCCAAACCGTTGGATAAATTGAGATCAACGGCGTGGATCAATCCACTTATGTAAAACGGAGTCGTTTTGGCCGGTTGGGGGATTGGGTCGGTTAGTGGGGTGGACGGGTCGGGTTGCGTGGATAATACCGGGCCGTTCGATCGAATGAAACGAATGGTTCAAATTAACAAACATGAAACGGCATCGTTTAGTCGATGCTGGAGACGGACCGGGTTGGGGCTGGTTTTGGGCTGGATTGGGGTGGGTTTCCAGTGCATTTTATTTGGGCCTCTTGAATTAAATTGAATTGTGCCCAAATTTGACTTCCTTCTCTTTTATTAATTCTTTTTCTTTTTTTTTCTTCTTTTTATTTCAAAAATTAAACTTAAAAATCCTAAAGTAAACTATAGAAGACCTAAATTAGCTTAAAAATATTAATTAACTTTAAATAACACCTATCACAAATAATTAAACACTTAAATTAAAAGAAAATCACACAATAATTCCAAAAATAACACATAATCAAAGCCAAAACCTAATTTTGGGAATTATTTTGGAGTAATTCGTATGAGGCAAAAATCACGTGCTCACAGCTGCCCCTCTTTGTCCGGAAGCCCAAAGAGTTTTCGTGCAAAGATAAAGTGAGCGAATACGAGCAATAACACTCCGTGGGAAGCATTTTATGAAAGATTTGACCGAACCTTTGCTTCAAAAGGTTTCCTACATATCCTTGGCTATAAAGGAATCAGGTCAATGTAGTTCGGGGAGTTTCGGTAACTGGGACTACCATGAAGCTGCGGTTTTACTGTTACTGTTGTTGCTATTACTGATACTTCATACTGTCCTCCCTATTACACCATGACAAAAATGAAAAAGCTAGACTAAGATATAATCTATGTTTTACAATGATTTATTTTCAAACTTGGTCTTGTGACTATTGTTGCCTTGTTGATTTGCATTTCCCTCAGTCGTTCCTTTGCTGCTGACTCGAATTGCATTCTTGAGATGCTTTCCCTCTCCTTCA